TAGTCCATAAGCAAGCAAGGTCCTCGAGTGGAAATCAGTTATCATGGGAAGTGAAGGAGCAATCGCCCTCAAAGTCAAGGCCACAAACCAACCATAAGATTTTAAACTTACAAGATTTTTCTTTGATTGAAACAGGGGCAGAAAATTTCGTTTATTTCGAAGAAACCCTCCGCAAGGAAAAGCAAGCACCAGACAGGTTTGACCGTAAACTCTCAGGACCTTCCTAGAAAATGTGACCTAGTTTAAAATTCAAAACAATCATGAGTAGCATAATCTAGCATAAATGCACCACAAAGGAATATAAGTTGGTTTCGAAGTTTGCATGTTTAAGATAGGATTCAATTAGGAGTTTTCAGGACCCTCTTGTAAAATGGGACCCAGTTTAAAAATCGAAACAATCATAAGTAGCATAAATGTACCCCAAGGAATATAAGTTGGTTTCAAAGTTTGCATGTTTAAGATAGGATGTAATTAGGAGTTTTCAGGACCCTCCTGGATAATGGGATGTAGCTTTAAGACCCTCTTAGATAACAACATTTAGCGAAGTCACACCTTTAGAAGATATAACTTAGATTTAAAATTGTCGTTTAGGTAAGAATTGTCAGGACCCCCCTGGATAATGGGATCTAGCTTTCAAATTCTTAGTAATATTTGGTAATATGATTCAGTTTAACGCTCACATATGTGCCCAGCCACCAAACTGGGGCAGAAAATTTTCTTTGTTTTTTGTCTATTTCATTGAAGTCAGGAGCCTGCCTGGAGAGCAGGGAATACATTCAAGTCAGCAATCAGGAGCCCNGAGCAGGGAATACATTCAAGTTTAGCAGTCAGGAGCCCGCCTGGAGAGCAGGGAATACATTCAAGTCAGCAGTTAGGAGCCCGCCTGGAGAGTAGGGAATACATTTCAAATTAGCAATCAGGAGCCCACATGGAGAACAAGGGAGTACAATTCAAGTTTTAGCTTCAAGTTCTTATTGATATTTGGTAATGTAATTCGTTTTACACTTACATGTGCCCAAATACCCAAACGGGGGCAAAAAATCTTCTTTGTTTTTGTCTATTTGTTGAAGTCAGGAGCCCGCCTGGAGAGCAGGGAATACATTCAAGTTTAGCAATCAGGAGCCCGCTTGGAAAGCATGGGAATATAATTCAAGTTCAGCAGTCAAGCGCCCACTTGGAGAGCAAGGGAATACAGTTCGAGTTCAACAATCAGGCGTCCACCTGAATAAAAGGAAAAGCATCTCAGATTGCAATTCAAGTCAGCAACCAAAGAATCTCGCAGCAAGAATGCGAGTCAACAGTCCGAGATGATCAACAGAAGTTAGTCACAATAAAGAAAAAGAGAGAAAGGCAAGAAGTGAATCCAAATGCAGAAGTTGATGGAAGATGTGAACTGCTTAAGACATGGTGGAAGTCACAAGCACTACATGTCCGGTCTTGATCCAAAAGCTGTAGAAGAACGAGCTAGAACCTGCAGCTAACAAGCGCCAAGGTTCAAATCTAAAGTCTACATGAAGAACCATTCAAGACTCAAGATCAAGCTTCAGAAGACTTATAGATAGGAATCTTGTAACTCGTAGTTGACAGGTTTAGTTAGTCTTTTTCATTTGATATTTTTGAAGTAATAACAGGAACCGCGGACCGGAACCTCGGCGGAACGGCACCTCGACCGGATCTCCACCTCGGCATACTTCGTCATCTCACTCATCTCTGAACTACACGTAGCCTGATTCCTTTATAGCCAAGGATATGTAGGCAGTTCAGATTAATTAGGATTAGCTTTGACATTGTGTAGTATTTCTATCTTATTTTAAAGGGCATTGTGTAGTCTAGGAACCCTTCTAGACTCTTCGTTGGGACAAAAACAAAAGACCCTAAGGACCTAATACACAAAAGACCTTGGGACTAATTGGCAAAAATACACAAAATATAAACCTAGACCCTAAGCCTATATAGACTAACGCCTAAGAGACTCTAAGGGGACAAATTGTTTCATGGAATCAGTCGTGACCTTCTTCTGAAAAAAGACAAGCCCCTTGATCTTCTTCACGGAGACAACAATGAAAAACCCTAGAAAAACCCTAATAGACTACACATGCCGCTGACCCTTCCTCTTCTTCCCAATCTCAAAACACCATAGCAACCTTCAGCTCTACTCCAGACCCAGCCATTGCCGGACAGCCCCCTCCTAGCGGTCACCTTCTTCCACACACAAGATGAGCGCCGCTGAGCAGCCATAAGCGACCCCCCATCGTTCATTTTCTTTCAGCAAAACAACAGCCCTTGAAACTTGATTTTCTTCAACTAAGACACAAGAGCAGCCAAGATCCGCCAGTAACCACCCCGAATGACTCCATCTGCTCACTCCATCATTCTCGCCACCAGCTGCCCATCAACGCCCAGCTCCCCACCACCCATCTCGTCAGCTTTGACCCGCCGGACAGACCCAAAATCCAGCGCCCAACCTTCCACCAGTCGTTGTGCGTCGCCAGCAATAGAAATACCACGCCAAATGACCACCCTCCATAGCCACCCATGAAACAGAACATCTAGTAAGTTTTATCAACTCAAGCTCGTTTAGCATCTCTTTCCGGCGAGCTTCGAGTTCGTCGGAGGTCGTTGTCCAAGGAGTCCGTTTCAGTCGCACGTCGAGGTACTGTCGTCGGGTTTCGGTTCGAGTTCCGTCGATAGTTCATCGTATTGAGCCTCTGTTTTAGCGTTCAAGTTTCTTTGCATTCCAGGTATGAGTATCAGTCTAAAAAGGTGTTGTAATTTCCCCCCTTATTGATGAATATATGGGCGTCTTATATGATATTTGAGCTTTCTTCTTCTAGGTGTTGCATTGTTGTAATTGCTCCTTCTCATATCATTTTTGTAATTGCTCCCTCTCATGTTCCGACTGTTCTTTGGAGGATATTTAAGTTTGTTGTCACTTAATTGAAGCCCATAAATCAAAGTTTTATTTTAATTAACTTTAGGTGCTTACTGTTTTGAACTCATCATTTGATATGTATTGAATTGAAGTGATAAGAAATTCATTTTCCTCGCTTTCATTTAGCTTAGTATTATATGATTTTTCTAATTACTTGGTCACTTAGTTCATTGAATGGATCGTGTGTGTTTGTATAAAATTTGGTGTTGTAGGGTCAAGTTTTGCCAATGAAATGATGAAAGAAGTGAGTTTTTCTTTAATGGCTCAATAGGTTGGGAGCAGTATTCTTACATGAACATGAAAATCATGACTACTTTTGTGCTTATATTCTTTTTTTTGTGCTTATATATTCAATTTTGATAATTGTTCTGTTTTCAAGCTAAGCTTTGTCATACTGGATTACTTATTTTTAGTACTTAATGGGTTAGTTGTATTTTCTTGCCAGGTCATTGAAGTAAATTTTGTGTTCAAATGTATTCTTGTTCTTAATGTGAATAGGTTTGTTTGTATAAGTGTGACCAATTCCAGTTTAGATAGAGCGATCTTTTCTTATCATGTTTTGAAGTTTATGCTAGAAATTTGGTGTCATATCTATTCTTAAATGCTTGGTCAATTCCATAAAATTAGAAATGAAAATTAGTATGATTTCCCACAAGAACTCCCATAACCATGGCCTTCCCAATAATCTCAAATATTAGGAAAATAATCCAAAATCGCGTAATTGCTTTAGGCGCGTTATGTTAAATAATTTACCTTCCTAAACTCGGGTGCGCATTTATGTGACCCAAATCCAAAATCTCCACAATGTTAAAATATGTCGAAGACCACGGGTGCATTTATGTGACGTGGTTCGAGACATGTTTTAACAGTGTTGCAATATTCTTAAAAATTAATTAAAAGCGGTTAAAAGTTAAAATTTGCATAGAGGTTCATAGTTGTTTAAAATCAGATAATTAAGCCGAATATAACAGTTGAGCGACTGTGCTAGAACCACGGAACTCGGGAATGCCTAACATCTTCTCCCGGGTTAACAAAATTCCTTACCCGGATTTCTGGTTCGCGGACTGTAATACAGAGTCAATCTTTTCCTCGATTCGGGATTTGAACCGGTGACTTGGGACACCATAAAATTATCCCAAGTGGCGACTCTGAATTTCTTAATATAAATAATCTCGTTTCGATTGTCCTTTAATTGGAAAAATTCCTATATATACCTTTCCGGGGGTGTAGATAAAAAAGGAGGTGCGACATGTATACGGTAAAATTGGTTAGTGACAGTTGGACGAACGAAGAGATGACACGTAGAGCTGAAGACAAGTAGGATGTGAGTCATCAAATAGTCAATACCGGTTGCAAGCATGTGACCAGTGCTAGATTAGTCCCGAAGACAGAGTAACCTACAACAAAGGTTCAAAGTATCGACATCGAGTAACATTCAATGAGCAGTCATTACAAAGAATATCTGCATTTATAGACAACCGTTATGCAGCCATCAATGAAGGTTTTATTCTTATTCAAGAGGAGCTTGATTTGAGGATCTTTTCTCCCTAAATAGAGCTATAAATAGGAGATTTAACGTCCATGGTAGACACGAAATATTCTGGACACAAAAGCTACATTCTGTTCTCATTTTATAACATTATGCTCAATCTTTATTTTTGAATATTCTTCTCACTTTTGCCACCGGGGAGGCTAAATTCATAGCCATGCTTGTATTTCCTTGAATTTCATTTCATAATTTTATTTTTATTCTTATTTATTTAATATTTTTGAGTCAAATCATTCACTTGTCTATAAACCACGCTATGAATTCAACTATACCATTTTAGAGGTAAACAAAAAATATGGTGAATAATACATTACGACTGTCATGACCCAATTCCCACTATAGGTCGTGATGGTGCCCAACATCGCCGTTAGGCAAGTTAACGATGAACGATCAAATTAATTGTTCAATTTATTACTTTGGAAATCATGAGATTTATTTAATAAAAATTTGCGCATTTAAAATCATGGGTACATACAGAATTAGTAGGATATAAAAACAAAAGGTGATAATGTTATGCACTTCCGTAACATCAACTAGACTATCCCAAAACCCGGTGTCACAAGTACTTGAGCGTTTACTAAAGAGTGAAACAATAATACAACATCTGTCTGGAATATAAAATAAACAGGATAAAGTAAGTAAATAAGATGAAGACTTTGTGTGCTGCGGTGGGTAGCACAGTATGTAGCGTACCATAAGGTCCCCTTAGCTGTTGCGCCTACGCGCCAAGATGACCACCAAATGAACCTGTCAAATCCTGTTCATATAGTACAGAAGCGTAGCATGAGTACATAAATCAATGCGTATCCAGTAAGTATCTAGTCTAACCCCAAAGACGTAGTGATGAGGGGTCGACATCGACACTTACTAGTGGTCTAATAAATCAATATGATAAATCATAAATAGATATGAAGCACAACAATAATAATGAGGTAAAAACTGTAACTATCATAATCCTCCAACATTTCTTTTGACAATATAAATCTCTTAAATTTCATATGTTATCTTAACAGATCAAAAATATCAAGTGTAGTCTCAAACGGATAAGGAATACCATATAAATGCTAGGTCTCAACAAAAAGGTAAATCTCATGAATATCCGAACTGCTGGCGGTATCACACACGATTATGCTGATGTCATACAGCCCGATCCAAAGTGATGTGTAGACTGTTGAGGGTCGACCAACGCGAACCATAGATGTATCTCAATATACTGTTGAGGCGTTCGATCTGATCCACAGGAAAGGAAGAAACTTATCGAATTACGAGTCACGTGCTTATAACACAGGTACATGAGCATAAAGTAAACATGACTTTTACCGTTTATCAAATATCTCGCCAAACAACTCATGGTGATAAAGATCAGCCTAATATATTTCCAAATCAATTTCAATTATAGATTCACTTAATTAAGCTAGCAAAATGAGTTCAAATAATCCAAATATTACATGATAAAATCCTAATTCTACCCGTACATAAACATGCTTTTAGCTTTGTACGAACTCTCGTCACCTCGTACGTACGTAGCACCCACAAGTAGTAGCACATAACAATTTTAATCCTACGGGGTAAATTCCTCCTCAAGAAAACTTTGTATTCGTTCGCCAAATCTTGTTTAGTTCCATCCAAGCTCGGTTTTGTCTGATTCTTAGACATGAGGTTTACCTTGCTCCGAAGTTCCATAACCGGCTCCAACGCCTCTCTAAATCCTCAAACCAATGCCCATCGATACGAAACTAGTCAAACAATCATGCAAACCAATAAAAAATATACTCCAACACTCATAATTAATCACTTTATAATATTTTTCAACTTCGCTCAAAAAGTCAATCCTTGGGCCCACATGCCCAGATTCCGAATATTTTCGAAGATAAATATTACCCATAACACCACGAATTCAAATATATAATTTACTCAATTCCATGTCCAATTTCATGGTCAAAATCCAAAAATATCAAATTCTAGATTTTCTTCAAAATCAAACAATTTCTATAAATTTCCATTTTTAAATCCATATATAACTCATGTATTTAACTTTCAACAAGTGGGAATAACTTACCTCATGATAGATGATGAAATATCCTCTTCAAGAGCTCCAGAAAATTGCCTGATGGTGGGCTATAATATCATATTTTAGTCACTTATTGCACTCTAATTCACTGCACTTTAATTGTGTTTGAGCTTTAATTGTTAGTGTTTTGTACTTATTGTGTGTTTTATGCTTTATAGGAGTGATTCCGAGCTATGTAGATATTGTGGAGCTAATTCAAGCTAATTGGCGCTTTGAAGTTTAAGCAATTAAGCCAGGATCGTGTTCGAGGGTCGAGGACCAAGTTTGGACGTCAAAACGCAAGATTTGAGTCGTACTCTGAGAAATTTGCATTAGTGCGACGCACTATGCGAGGCATACTACGATGTAGCAGCGCATTTTTGCTGCCTGATGAATTGTGAAAGCCCCTGATAATCCCCACTAGTTCCCCGCATGGCGCGTCACCCTATGCGGCACGCCTGTGCAATTTTTATAGAGCCAATGTCATATTTTGGCTAGGAGAAGGTTTTTTCGTCTGGGCCCGAACTTACTTGGTATAAATACATGAAAAAGCGTTATTTTCTGGACTTTTAACATATTTTAGACCTAAGGAGACTAAGAAGGAGTGGGAGAAGCAAAAGCACAAGGATTTCGTCATTCAATCCTCACTCAAGACCCGAGTTTGGATCGTTTTTATGTTTTCCTATACTTTAAACATATTTGTGATGAATTGCTCCATATCTATGAGTAATTCCCTTTAGGGTTTGATGGATTTGGTGTATTGATCTTTGTTTCATAACTCTAGTTTTATGTATTGAAGCATTTTTGGATGATATAATTGTTTCATCTATATTCACTTGTTCATGTAATCGAGAGAAACATAACTTGTGATATCTTTGTATTATTTTGTTTGTTGAATTCATTAATTCTTCTTAGTAATCGAAAGAGGCTAGTTGCATCATTGATTAAACCTAATTAGGAGGATAATCGAGAGAGGTTCTCCTAAATACTAATCTACTATGAATTTTTGCATATCTTCATAGAGCTTAATTGGTTCATCTTGTGAGGTTGAGACTTAATCGAGAGAGGCGTTTCTGCTAAATGTTTGAAATAATTGAGTGAATTCGAGAGACTCAATTGAATATTAGAAGTGAATTATCTAGAGTTAGATCCCAAACAATTATCTTGCACCTATCCTATCAAAACCCTATTTTCTCCCACTGATAACCTTCGTTGCTTACTCATTGTTGCAATTATCACTAGTCAATAGCTCTAGATTCTTAATTAATTTTAGTTCGTAATCATATAAATTTTAATTGTCGATCATCTTGGATAGCAATTAAGCTAGAAACTACAAGAACCCTGTTTGAATCCAATCCATGTGGATACGATATTATATTATACTATATTCGACTAGCGACCATATTTAAGTGTGTTGTTTTGTGCTCGTCATCGCCCAACCAAGTGAAAAATGAGCCAAAACCCCGCATAAAAATCGAATCTGCCTAGGTCTTTCCTCTTCGCGATCGCGAAGGCCAAAAATACCTACCAAAATTCCTTCTTTGTGTTCGCGACAGCACGGTTGCGTTCGTGACCGTACGGTTACATTCGTGATGCCTCCAGGTCCCCATTGCTTCGCGTTCGCAGCCATTGAAGCGCGTTCTTGTAGGCTTAACGCCTCCAGGCTCAACTCCCCATCCTTCTTCGCGTTAGCGACACCCTGTCGCGTTCGCGAAGGGCACCTCAACCTCAGCTCTGCGTTCGCGGTCCCTTTTCGCGTCCGCGATGCACATTTTTCAGCAGCCAAAAATTCCTTCTTCGCAAATGTGTTCATACCTTCGAGTTCGCAAAGAACAACACCAGACACCAGCACTAGCCTCAGCAAAACAAGGAAAAGTGGTCCAAAACCACCCCGAAACACAACTGAGGCCCCCGGGACCCCGTCCAATCACACCAACAAGTCCCAATACCTTATTAAACTTATCCAAAGGCTCAAAATTCCACGAATAACATCAAAGTCACGAATCGACGATCAAAATCCTTGTTTCAACTTTCAAACTTCGATGAACGCGTCCAAATCATATCTGAATATTTCGGAATGACGCCAAATTTTACATACAAGTCACAAATCACAATACAAACATATTCCAAGGCTCGGAATACCAAACAGACATCGATAACACCAAAGTCCACTTCAACTCAAACTTTGGAAATTCTAAAACCTTCAAAATGCCGATTTTCCACAATAAGTGCCGAAACGCTCCCGGACCATTCGATCAACCCGAACTTATGTCCAAGTCTTAAATCATCATATGAACTTATTGGAACCTTCTAATCCCGATTCCAAGGCTGTTTATTCAAAACTCAAGCCTTTGTCAACTCTTCCAACTTAAAGCTTCCAAATTGAGAATTTTCCTTCCGAATCAACTCCAAACTTCCCGAAATTCAATTCCGACTATGCATACAAGTCATAAACTGAAAATGTTGGTTTATGTTTAGTTAACAATGGCATGCTGAAAATGTTGGTTTATGTTTA